CATTCTGAACTTTTTTTGAACAATATCGACAAAAGCTGAACAAAAACAGACAAACTTTTTTTATAGTGACGGAAAATGTGTAGAAATCATTGTAATACAAATGCACGCAAACTCAGCTGCATTGGTTAATTGAAAAAATCAGGGGCGCCTCGACTTTTCTTGCATTATAATAAAATAGAGATTATATAAGAAAAAAACCGATTTGAAAATTTTAAATTTATTATCGTTGTTTAAATTAACCTCGTATATTCTTATAATAAATTATCATCCGTCACGAGTGCCTTGTACATTTTTACTAATCATTTTTTTCATGCAAAAATAAAGTACAACTTACATTCTTAATTTATTTCGAATTATCAATTTATTTTAACGTTAAAAATATGAATTTCATGGCTACAAGAGTAATCTGATTATCCTCCAAGGTGTATAAAAGGTCAGTAATGGTCATAAATTTGAATATTTTTATGCCATTTACTGGTGATCAAACTCGGTATAAAATATATAAAATACCCAATAGATGATCGTACGGAATGGTTTTAAAATAAGGATTTTAGAATTTACAGAAGATCTGGATAGTTGAATGCCAAATTATATGGTAAGAGGATGTAAATACCTATTTCAAAAACTATACCATACTAACCTAATCATCTATATCATACTGAACTCGTTTATCAATATTGTATGATTTGTGAAATTTGTAAATCAAAAAAAAAAAAAAACACTACAAATTACGTACGTACGTATATGTTCTGCCGTCATACAATACAGTAAGAATAACACAGGGAAATAAGCTGTAGATCTCCGGCCTTATTAGGGTCTTTTGGACCCGATTTACTTATTTGCGCTAATGCGGGTGTGAATATTTTAATTTAACGTTAAAAATTAAGGTTAGAACTTATTTAAGTGTGTTTATAAGTAAAATTTCTTCCCCAACATTTTTTATTAACAATTTAGTTGGTTGATCGCCTGTCGATCATCAATAATTCATTCCGTTTTGCCTACCTCCAAAAAGGAAATAAAATTTGTAAATAAAACTAAGTGCGTAAAAATAGTAAAAATAGAAGTTTATAATTAGGACGTTAGGGTTGTGAGCTTTAGCGATAAGTTGGAGTTTATTATATGTAAAATTTCATCCCTGTTATTTTTCATTAGCCCATAAAGGTCGATTAAAACACTAGTTTTGAGTATTTTCGCTTTCTTTTCTTTTTTTCTTCTTTCGCACGTTTTCGGGGCTGATCCGGGATACCCGAAATTTGGTTAGCCATTACCTTTTAGAGGTTTGTGTTACCCACGCAAAGGATGCCATTTGGACCCTCATATAACCGGGAATTTACCTCTTATTCCCGCCGATGCGAAAAATTAACAGTACATATTAAGCATTTTTTATTACTAACAACTTTGACTAATTAGAATTCATTTAATATATTTAATTAGAATAATTGTCTAGATATACTTACAGTACAAGTACATTAAAAATATACCTCAAAAATTATGTACGTTGTGAGGGGCAAGATCGACCCTATTAGTTCTATTTTTACACTATTGCCCTTGATATTCCCGAATTCATAGTTATAGGTGGTACAAGCTGTGAGAATTCCGGGAATTCACCAGATAATAGGAATCCTAGAGATAACGAGAATTATAATTATTCTCGTTATGAAAAGGATAATTAGAATAGTTTGGATTCGAAGAATTCCATTATATGTAAAATTAAATATATAAAGAGGAGTTCTCTCCTTGAATAAAGTCAGTCATCGTTTTACGCATAAACTCATAAAAGTTCATTCTCCTAATTCCCGATAAACTATTTTGAATCCCGTGATCCCGAATTAGAGCCTCGTGACATAGTCTTGAGCTCTATTTGGCCCTAATAACTCCAACATTAGGGTTGGATAGAGTTTGGTTGTTTAGAGTGTTGATTTGGATTAGTTTAGTGTTGACTGATATCCGTGTTGACCATATTTTGAGATACCCGATTGGTCCACACTTTTTCAACGTACATGATTCTCAAAATTCATGCGTATTTCATCACTAATATAATAGACAGGGGTAGCTTTTATTTAATAAAACAAGCAAGCAATAAACTTATAATTTGAATGGAACCTATAATAATAACAGGTAATTATACATGTTTATACAACTTATGTAGCATTTAATTAGTCTAATAATTGGTCCGTCCAGTCTCATACCGATCGGTCTTAATCAGTCCTGGACCGCAGTCCGGTCCAACTTTTTAAAAGACCGTCGATTTTTGGATCGGACGGACCGATTAACAGCCCTACATATTTATCATCTAATAACTCTAGTTATATCGTAGCCATATAATAGCTATATAATAATAGTTATACGACAAACTTATTTAGAAAAAATTTAAAGGTTTCTGCTAAGGTATAGTTGAGTGAAAATTTGTTATATTAACCCCGAAACGGGAGGAAGAAAGGAACCCAGTGATATCTTCATGATAATCACATCACATGATTAAGTGTTCGGCCTACGTTAGGGTTAGTGATAGGTTAGTTTAGGCTGATTTGTTTAGTACTAGTAAACAAAAGACGTAATTGCATTATTTCATGTGATGTGATAATCACTGGGTTCCTTGTTCTTCAAGTGTCCCCCGTGAAACAATGCATAAATTTAAATTTTCGTATAATTAACTACATAATTTTAAATCGATGATTCTTTCCCGAAATACTAGTAGAGCTGGGATTCGTGAATATCCACGGCTAAAAAAGAATATTCAATTAAAAGTGAATATATGGTTACATAAAATTCATGAATAGTTAAGGATTAGAGTATTATTAGTTTTTTACACAGAATTCGTGAATATTCGAGATGAATGATCTGAGACTTTACTAATCCATATAAAATTTGAATATTTGAGATGAATAATCTAAGATTTTACTATTACGTAAACATCCATTTAAAATTTAAATATTCATTCAATATCATTCGTGGATGGCAAAAACCCGTGAAAATTCATTGAATAGTCATAATGAATATTCAACAGATCCCAGCTCTAAATACTTGTGTTGGGATCCAGATATCAATTTGGATATCCTGATAGTTATCTGCACTCAAAATCAGCAATCCGATAGGACATCCAAATATCCATTGACAAATATCTGCTCAAAAATGGCCATCCAAATATCCGGATAATAGCCAATTAGAATGTGTTGACCAACAATTTTATTCTTATTGCGTTAATTAAAAAGTCTATATAATTATCCGGATTAGTGTTGGCGATAGAATTACTGAATTACGGCACTCTACCATATAGTAGAATTAATTGCAGCACAGAGCTCAATTGCCGTAAATATTATGTAGTAATACCGTAATGCCGCAATGCTGCAATGCCGTAATGCTGTAATGCCATAATGTTGTAATGCCGTAATACCGTAATGCCATAATGTCATAATATCATAATACTATAGCAGATAGACCTTTGCATTGTAATAATGCAATACCGTAATACTATAGCATAACATAGCTATATAACGCAATCATGCCAAACCAGGAATTGATTGGCCCCATTACTAGGCACAAGTACAAATATTCATAACAATAAGTAGTTATATTATAATTAACTATATTCAGCTACTACCAAGATAATTTTGTGAATAATTTGAGTATTTGCTATAGTGAGTATAATTATATAACCAATATATATATTTTAAACATAAGATATTTAAATTTGTTATATTTACATTATACCTTAATTTCGCATTAATTAGATATTATTTTAAGTAACTTCAAGAGAAATGAAACTTCAATTATATAAATTCTGAATGATTGAAGCCACATTTTTCTTGGCGTCACTATTTATTACTGTATTAATTAGTATGCTTCAAGAAAGTACAGAGTAATATAAAGAATATTCATATTCAGTTATTTAAAACAAAGGTGTTTGCGAATTTTTGTTAGAGTTTCAAAATTAATATATTTTAAAGGTATAAAAATCAAATTTAGAATTATGAATGTCAAAATAAACAGTACATTTGGCAATTCATATTTATATAGTCTAAAATGTACCATAGTGCACTGACCAAAGTATCCCCCTTTCTGAGTACCCCCATGCAAAAGATCCAGGTATTTTGCATAGCGCTTTTTTTTCACCAAGTATAATATCGGGTATTTTACAAATTTTTGACAAGGAATTTTGTAAGAGACCCGGGTATATCATATATATTACAGAAATGAACTGGCACTGCTTACTTTGTAGACAATCACTTCATTTCATAGACAATTAGTTTACAGATAAATTTATTTTACAAAGTTCATTTTATAGACAAATTGATTCATTTTATTTAACCAACAGCTCATTTTAAAGTTAGTATAAATTATAAGAAAAAACTTGTATCATGATATTGATGAAATAAAGCTATTAGGGGGTTTCAAAGTTAAAATCAGCAAATCTTATTTTATTTTTCTGATTTATAATTCAACATTTATTTTCAAAATGTATCACATATTTGTTAACTTTAAAAACCCAATTTGTGAAATAAGACATCTATAAGCAATTGTCTGTAAAGTAACATAAATCTGAATTGAATATTATATAGGGTTTTTGCCTTGAAAATGACCTTACAGTATATGATACAGTAAGGTCATTTCCAAGACAAAGACCCATATGATATTTCAGATCAAAGTCTCATAATAAATATGTTAATATGCAAGTCAGGTATCTTAAAAATTTTTTTCTAAAAAAATAAATCAAGCCGAAAATCAAAAAATACTCTAATTTTTGATAAAATTTCATTTGATAGCAATACCCAATATGATGCTTTATTTGATAATAATGACCCAAATATAGCCTTAGCTTACAATTTCAGAAATTTATTACAAATAATAAATGCTTTATATTGATCTTTCTATTTCATTCTGATTGCAGTAATGAATCTCTGATTTCTATTATTAATAAATCATAATCTATTAAAGAAGTTCTTAACAGTTTATACATAAAAAATAATATAATGCATAGAAATTTACTTACAAATTGAACATTAATTCCAGTCTTGAATAACAGTCAATTCTTCACCTTCTTCATAATAATAGTCATAAACTATTCTATTTTCATTTGCATCTTCACCTTCACTTTTGTTTGTATCTTCACCTTCATATTTATTTGTATCTTCATCTTTGCCTTTACTTTCATTTGTATCTTCACCTTCACTTTTATTTGCACCTTCACCTTTATTGATATTATCATCTCGATCTTCAGGTTCTTCTTGGCTTTCAATTCCTCGTCCCGGATTATTTTTATTATCAATTTGTGTAAAATCAAAAATTAGATTATCCTCAATTCCATCTATTGCGTTTGCGATTCCACAACATTTAAAAGACTTTCTAACTAAATTAACATCAACAGCTTCCCAAGCTTCTTTTACCCAATTAGCAACTAAAGAATAGGAAGGATGCTTCAATTTGCCTGACTTGGTATATTCTTTAATACCTTCATCAAACCATTGATTATAGATCTTTCGCATCTATTTAAAATATTATTAAATTTAATTAATACAACTACAATATCAAATTTGCAGATAAAATATATTTATAAAAAAAATAAAAATAAATAAATATTAGTTAGGTTATACTTTTGATTTAAATGACTTGTTCAAAAAAACATCAAGAGGTTGTAAGTGAGGTGTTAGACCACGAGGAATTATAGCCAGATCAGTATGTTTTCCACAAAAACAATGCTTAACAAGCTTTGTTTTATGACTAGCAAATGAATCCAAGATCAACAAAGAACGTGAATTGCTTCCAGGTTGTGCTCGTCAGGTCCAAATATTTTTCACCCACCATAACATCCTATTTTTGTTCATCCACCCCGAAGGGTTAGCACGTATAACAACACTATCAGGAAATTCTTCACGAGGTATATTAACTAGCTTAAAAATTATTACAGGTGGGAGCTTAGTGCCATCTGCCAAGCAGGCTAAAACAACAGTGAAGTTCAAATTTCATGCCTAGTAGACACAATTGCAATAGTTTTGGTGCCTTTTTTTTCAATAGTAGTATTATTTATCATATTAAAAGCCACAGCAGTTTCGTCCATATTTCCAATTAGTGACAAAGGATAATTATTTTTTTGGTGTTTGTAAGGCCATACAAATTTAATTACTTGGTTTTCATAACATGAAACTTTTAAATAGACCCGGCCGGCTTTTTTTTTTTTAAATTTCATATATAAAATTTTATAAAATTTATAAAATTTTTTTTTTAAAACCCACCCGGTTATTAAAACATATAAAAATTTTTTTTTTGAAATTTTCAAATTTTGACCCAGCCGGGTTATGAAAACCAATTAATTAATTTTGCATGGCCTAAAGTACAAGAGATAAAAATTTATTTTGATCTTCAAGGTAAGTTTCAGGAAGATGCTGAGCAGTTGTAGTGTGCCTTTGGTTCACCAAATTATTTCTTGACATAAACCCATCTACCCACTTTTGAGAAAATTTATAATTTACAATTCCTCGATATCTTTCTTGGAAGCGAGAAGTAGCACAAAGAGTGTGAGCCTTTGCTTGAATTATGTACCGACCTACAGTTTTATTCTGAGATCGGAGCCCCTGAAACCATTCAATTAATTCAGCTTCGAGTTCAGGATATTTTGGTCTAGCACCATTTGACAACTTCTGAATGTATGGTGCAGCTTTCAAAAGATCAGATTTTTTACCAATCCATTCACTAAGTTGTTTTGGTTGAATTTGAAATTCATCGGCAGTTGAGCATTTACTATGTTCTTTTTCATGGTAAGCGATTATTATTAATTTTTCTCGTGCTAACCATGATCTTTTTTTTTTACTTGTAATTTGTGCACGTCGATTTTTAAAATTTCCACAGACCATTATGCAAGATTTTGGTAATGGAGGGTTCTATAAGGTGCAAGAATTAGTGTAATGCTAATGGGTACATAGTAGTATAGGCGTTTTTTTTCTTTTTCTTTTTTATTTTTTTTCTTTTTCATTTTTTTTATTTTTTATTTTTTTTTATTATTCATTTTTTTTTCTTTTCGTTTTTTTTCTTTTTATCATTAACAAAAATCTCCCGCTTTCAAAAAATTAGTCTGGTGAATTAACTTTTTACATTTCACAGACCTGCAAACGTTCTTTGACGTTTATGTGTTAATAGTTGGCGTGAATAGGTTTGATTTCAGTTCTAAAGAAATGGAAAAAATAATAACGCTGCTAATAAATTTGAGCGTGTACTAGCAGGTGTGTGCTTAATCGTTCTTTTTTTTGATCGTAATGAATCGGCTTTATATTACGTACCTGTACGACACTACCATATGTCGTGTAAAATACCCTTCCATATAAAATACCCCTATATCAAAGTACCCCCCGAATAAAATACACTCCTACCAAAAGATCCTACCACACAAAATACCCATTATCGAATGAGATACCCACGGGTATTTTGTATTAGACCCCGGGTCTTTTGGTCAGTGCACTACAGTAATTAACAATAAATGTGATTATCATTTGAAACCCCTTATGTATTATACTTTCGCATTAATTTAATCAAGTGAACTTGATGTTATTTTGTTCCACTCACTCCATCGATGATCCTTTTGTAGAGACAAAACTTCACCCATGACTGAAATATAACGTAGCATTCTTTACTATTACCAATTTAATCATGAATATAATAACTACGTTGTAGTTCTGTAGCTTGGGCATTTACATCAATTGCTTTTGCAGTAATAAAAATATAAAGAAATTAAGATAATTTTGGACAATTTGGGAATTTAGAACATCCAAAAACAAATCCTTTTATTTTAAGATAATCCGAAAACAAACTTTATTCCCAATTATAAGAAATAACCTTGACCGAACATTAAAAAAAAATTATGTTCTTTCCATATGGGTGAAAATTTTTGCGATTATTATAATTTGAATTGCCAAATTCGCCCATATGTGGGTTGTTTTTTGGTTACTTTACTCATGAACAGCATATAAAAACTGATAAGTAACTGATAAGTAACTCATAAGCAATTTTTAAGTAATTTTACAATCACTGGTAAATAATCACTTTTAACATTAGTAATCATATTATATCATATATTTTATTAGCTCAAATTCTATGTAATCTCATCATTCAATTTATATAATCACAAAAATGAAGATTTCCGCCCATATGCACTACGAACTTTGATGATCATTGATTATCTATTCACAAAACCAGTAAATTTACTATGCATTATCTTAAATCTAAAGATTATTTTTAAACAATAAACACTAGAGGAATGTTATCTATGTTATTGCAGCATTACAGTTTTTAGCACATTACTGCAATAGCATTATAATATTTAATTACAACAGCATTATGGTACGGTATTTCAATATAAGCGCATTATGACATTGCGGCATTGCGGCATTACGGCATTACGGCACAAAGTAATTACGGCAAATAATACGGCACATGCCGTAACCGTATTACAGCCCTATAAAAAAAGTTTGTTCCGTTTTTGTTCAGCTTTTGTCGGTATTGTTCAAAAAATGTTCAGAACGGAGTCATTATCGTAGTAAAGGCGGGACAAAAATCGTACATATTTTTATAATTGAAAAATTTAAAAATGTACAATTTTTGCTCTGTTTTTATACTATAATG